AATACACGGCTATTTGAGTTTGTTCAAGGGTGTTATTTAACTTTTCCGTGCTGACATAACAGTCCAACATTACTCTGTCGAGCTTGTATTGAGAGAAAAACAACTTTCCTTTTAATACATTGTTATGTTAAAATGTTTCAATTTTAATCCAATCTAATCGGTATATTTAAGTACATTGAAATACTTATGGATAAAGTTTGGAACTACGGTAAAAATCATATTCGAATCGATTCCAAGCTTGAGATGAGGCGAGAGAGCTTTTAGTTACGACGAAGTAAGGAATTCTAAATAATACAGTGTTGCCCTCTTGATGTAAGCCTCCTTGGGGATATTTTGGGGCCGGCAATGGAGCAAGTCCGTACGCTAATCTGTAAGCAAACTTTAATTAATTTTTTTAAACATGAAAAGGTAATTAATGCCCAATCACTATTTCTTATATCGTTATATGTTTGATTAAGCAGAAAAAGTTTGAAAAACGTGCTCTCACGGGTGCTCTTTATTGCTCAAACCTTGGCCATTCATTAAAATATTTTCGTTATTTATATACTTTTCTATCTCTTCCATATGAATAATAAGAAAACTACTGTAAACCTGTTTAAATAAATTGTAACATGTGTACAAACGTGGTAGAATAACACAATTTTTACAATCTTGAAAAAAGTCGTTATTCGCCCATTAAAACGTAACTCACTACCATCATACATTATAATCAAATTTAACCATGTTTTATGAAATAATAATGAAATAATATTTTTAGAAGAGATTTTTATTATTACTTGATTTCTTTATTTAATTAATTGGAAAGGTTTCTTATTATTATGTTATTAGACAATGTTATGTTTCCTTTTAAGAAAAAGTGAGGTTAATATTTGATATTGTTTGATAGCTAAAAACATAATAATATTGATACTTTCGTTTTCAAAGAATTTGTTAGTTATAGATTAAACTAACTGTAATGTTGTGTATCCTATCTGTAAAAATAAATTTTACAACATCAACTTGATTGATGTTTGAACTTTTTATCTTTTAATTGCCATTAAATATCATGTTTTTGTTAAAGCTATCTGCGAAAGTTTGTTATCAATATAATTGTGTAATCTACGTAATTTTTTGTTGAATAAATTAATTCTTAAAAATTGATTTAAAATGGAGGTATTTCGAAATAATTGTTAATAGCTACGGACGTGGGTAGATCGTTTTCAGTTATTTATTTTTGTCATACTAACTGTTAGAAACTGAGAAAAAATATTGAAGATATTTAAATAGTTTTTAAATGTAATGCCTTTGTTCTATAAGCGCTTTAGCGTCGATTATTTTATTTTATCTAGTATAAGGAAATATTAAGTAAGATGAAGATATATTGTATGTGATTATATAGAATATAATCCGTTACAAAAGCCAATAACCACTGCTAGTAAATGCGACGAAGAACATTTTTGTGGAATAAATCAATTTAGATTCGTTTTAAATACTTCATCATCCTTTTGAAAATAGGAATTTTCAAAGCAATAAAAACACATTTTTTGACTGGATTCGCCGGGAAGGGCATATTTTTTCTGCCGATGCCCCCTGCTGTACTTAAACATTCTTAACATATCTGGAATTTTTCGAAGTTCAACGTTGTTACAACCATTAGAAAGGTGAATTCCACTTTTATATTTTTGGTACAAGGTTTAGACTTTTTGAAATTTTAAAGGAGAGAAAAAACGTTGAAATCATTAAACACTTTTCTAATGTGTTATTTTGCACCTACAATTCTTATTTATAGAAGCCGGATCTGAGCTATTTCGCGTTTATCAAGTTCTAAACCTTTGTACAGGTACATGTGTTTTAGATTAGTCGTAAGTTATTGCTATTGATACTAAAAAAATCGGAGGCATTTGGAAAGGGCAAAATATGGGGAAAACCTAGTGTTTGTTTTTCAAAATTTTATATTCCTCGATTTTCTGGATTAAAAGGACTATCAGTGTACCATTATAGTCCCTGGGAATGTTAGGACGAATCGGTCTTCAAGAAAATTTGAGATCGCCTTTAACAAACTTAAATATGCCAGTCTGTAGCCATATTTAGGACTGTTTTGCCTTAATGGTGACATTAACATGGGTCAAAAGCTTTGAAGTAACAAATGAATTTGCTTTTTTCCTCACGACGATAACAGGTGTTCGTAAGTGAAAAAGTGATCGATACTTCTAACACTGAAAACAAAATAATTATGTATTGTATATACTTCGAATTTGCTTGCTCGCGCATTATCTGGTTTAACAAAGTAGGCCAGAACCCTCCACCTCAAGTTAAAAAATTGTTTTCTTATAAATTTAATATCCTCGAGATTTAAGGATTACCTTTTAAACGTTTTCTCTATTATTCTTTATTTAGAAAATCCATATTGCAATCATTATGAGATACTCTGTGTGTACATTACTTCTCCAATTTTTTCATTACTTATTGAAATCGTAAAATAATACCTTTTTTTGAGTAAGTTATGAAATATATTTATCTATTTTATTCACCTTAAGAAAAAACAACAATATCGACCAGATTTACCTATTCCATAATAGTAATTGGTTTTACATATAAGCTATTTTGTAAAATGTGCTATCGAACATTATTTTAAATAAATGTTTACATGGTAAGGTATGAAATACGCTCAGCCAAATTAGCGCACCACCAGATTTTTTAAGCACAAATCGAAATGTTAAGAAAAATAGCTACATCTCTTAATGTTTATTCATTTGGACATGAATTATAACCGTCTCCAGTTATCCGTATAACCGTTTCTTAAATATTCAGGAATTCTCTTTGGTTCATTTCCCAGTTTTACCGCGTTGGCTTTATTTTTTTAAGAAATATTTTATAAAAATTTAAATAGTGATAACTTTCGATTTACATCATCCATAAGAAATAACGACTGTATTAATTAACCTAAGGTACATAATGAAAACGTAAATGTAAAACAAAAGTTTACATTATAATATTAAATTTGAGGAATTCAGACATCTCTGCACCGATAACTGTACTATTAATAAATGAAACAATTTTTAAAACAGTTTAAGTTATCATCAAATATTACATCAACTCAGCCATGATTCAACTAACATTCTGCTAAGTCAGTGACCTATGGGTAATTCGATTTTGCGACCATTTGATTTAACTTGAACTTGGCCCATTGATTAATTGGGTTGCCGAAATGTTGTCATTAGCCAATGTAATTTGAAGTCACAACTGCTAAAGCGAATTTGGATTCAAATCTTCAAATTCCAATTCCATTCTCTCTCACTCTCTCTCTTTCTCTCTCTCTCTCTCTCTCTCTCTCTCTCCTCTCTCCCATTCACCCCCTCTCTCTCACTCTTTCCCTCTCGCTCTCTCTTTTTCATCATCGTTTAATTGACTTACTTATTAAGTCCTCCAGCAGCAACTGTAATGGTTTTATATTAAGTATTTAGTTATGTAACGAATATACTTTCCTTTCAAAATTCTGCGTAATAGCCCTCTGTGTAGACAAACTTCTTCTTGTAAAACTTTTCCTCTACCTCGTCAAAACAATAATTAATTTCCAGTTGAAAAAGTAATAAACAAGATGAACGGGCTGTACCCTTAACGTATTGTAGAGACTTGTTCATCTCTACTGTCTCACATTTGCTGATTCATAATATTTAACTTATAAGTAATTTGTTGACAATTTAAACCTAAAATACAAGGACCGGCAAAGTCGTTCCGCACTATTTTATGAGCAAATTACCGATTTTAGCTATTTAATGAGTACTTTATTTTTAAGAAAAATAATAATTTTTGTGTCAAGTAAAAAGCTCAGTTAGCTGTTAATTAAATTTATTTATAGCTAATATGTTGTTTATCTTTTTATTATTGTGGTTTTTATTTTTATGTACAATAAATTGTAATAATTTTTATAGAAATGGCTTATTTTGGGGTTAATTTGTAGTCATTGAAATTAATTCAACTAAGTGCAAAGTTGGAATTTAGGGGATCTTATTGCCAAATAGTTTCCAGAGTATGCGGAAAGGTCGGGCTTTTACACACGACGGCGGGCTTGATTAGCAAATGTCCTTGATTTGTACTGGAACCTACGGAAATTCCGCATTTCAATCCTGATTTCCATGAATCTACCCCTGGCCAGTGAAACGTCAAAGGGTTCAAGGGATATTCCAAATTTGTCATTAAGCTTTCCCCAATAGGAAATTAACATCAAATCAAACATAAATTATACAAGGAAATTTAACGTCAACTCATGCTTTAAATACTTTCAATAATATATCAAAAACAATTGAAATTGAATAATAGGTGTCCGCAATTTTGTTTTTTAACTTTCACAATATTAAAAAATAATGGACACCTCATGAAACTTAAAAATGCATTAGAAATACAATTATGGCGATATTTGCAATTAAACAACGTGTAATAAATAATTCGTCCGTACATTTTCCAGAGCAAGCCAAAAGTATAATCGATCGATCCTAACAGCGTAAAGTAAAATCTCGTTCAAGGAACTTCTTGGTTAGAAAGAATCAGTCAATTCCATCAAATTTTGTTATCAACTCCACTAGCAAAGTTTTAAAGGAAAAAGCCTTTCAGATGTTGTTGAGGTTTTTTTTATCAATATTGGCAGAATACATTGTATATTAGGTTTAGTAAATAGGAAATTTAGAAAAGAAAGGCAAAATTTACCATAAAATCATTACCAGTTCAGGCTAATTTAAAATTATTTATTCAAAAATGAAACAATATTAATTAAATTTATTTATATTTTTAACTATTTATAAGTTTTAAAAATGCGAAACACGTAAAACTTAATTAAAGCAATGCCAGTACATTAGATATTAACTTTAGTTCAAGGATCATTGTATTTCTTTTATAATTATAAATTGTACCTTACCATAAAAATAACGTTTGCGAAATCTAGGTACATAACAATTTATAGAAAAGATGGGTAAAGATAATAACTAATTTTACCTTCGATGCAAATTAATATTTAAAAAACTTACTTGTGGCGCTGACAGAAGGCCCTAATTGAGGAGATGATTCAGGTTCAACTCCATTTTCTGAAAAATAAAACGATTTCTGTAAATTAAACAACAAATTTCAAACGGAAGTATAAGAATATTGAAATCCCAGTGACTCAATAAACGTATTGAATAGAAAAATTGAATAACCTGTACGTATTACTTAAATAAGTTTAGATTTATTGGGTACTTAAAATCCCACAGTCAGTCCTCTCCTTATACACTAAAAGATATACCTATCAATACAATGGAATAGCACTGTTTTCTCAAAAAATTGGGACAGAAACCGTAAATACTAGCTGACTACTCAAGCAAAATTGTTCTAATGTCAGGTGGTATTCCTAACCTCCATTCTTCTCTATAAGGAGCCAAGGAATAACACACGTCCAAACCCATCACTCTCACTGACGCGTAAATACACAAAACTATCAATACTATATACAATAAAACAACCCTGTTTCCTCCACGAATCTGAACAGAGTTCCAGGTACTCGCTGCGGTGCTAAGTACATTTCTCAATGCATTCCTACCCGCTCTCTATATGGAACCAAAAAATGGCACATCGAGCAACCATTCTCTATATAATGAACAGTGTCAATCTCTCATGGCCTATTCTTAGTCGGAGAGCATGTACAATCTTCTTTGGTTCAGATCCTTCGTGGGCAACCCATGGAAACGTTCCAGTTCCGACAATCTCAATCAAAAGTACAACGAAAGGATCTACGGGAAGCTTTCAATTCCAAAAATGTAATTACAGACAAAAATTTATAAAATTTATCGAACTAAATCCTAAAAATATATGACAATAATATATAATAACGACAAAAGCTTATAATAATGTACTGAGCGAATTTATTTATTATTGTAATACCCCATGGTAATGGATAATAATTTTATTTACAACATCTACATTAATCGATAATTACATGGTTTTTTAAACATGATCTATTTGTGTAAAATTACAATTTATTTTCTAGTTATACTGTATCGCGAAACACCTAAACAGATCTTTCTATAAAAATTAAATTAATTAATTCCAAACTGATAGAAATAATAATAATAATAGCGGATTTATCCTTGCTTGTGCAGTTAAAACATAGACCATAAATTTAAAGCATACAATAAAAATAAGCAATCGGTTTAATAACAAAACAATTACACTACCTATTAACAATCCTTTTTTAAAAAAATAGTTCCTACTCACAGTAAGTTGTTTTGCAACGATCCGGATTTCGAGCTTTTTAGCTCATCATCAGATTGAAGGACTTTTACAACCACGTCTCTGGACATGAATTGCCAAAGTGAACCGCTGATACCTCCGCCAACGCGACGTTCCAATTATCGGCTGATTTTTTTAATGGGGCTCAATTTGAACGTGCGAAACGTGGAAATTATAACACAAATAAATATTATACTAGTAAATTCTTAATATTATTAAATTACTTTAAAAATAATAACAATTAAAATAAATTAGTTTAATTATTTGGATGTTTGATATTATTAATGTACATATTTAAAATAGGAGGTAGATCACAATCTGTTATATTATTAATCCATTTATCACCATGTTCAATTTTAAATTTTTTAATTTCAATTTTCTCAAACCAATCTAGTTTTTTCCCTTTGTTGAAACTATGTAACACTCTTGCATTTAGATTTGAATTGAAATTATGTTTCGTTTCTTTTAGATGGTCCTTAAATTCCGAAAATTTGCTCGATTTAGGCAAGTGTTCTTTTACTCTTGTTTTTATTTCTCTACCGCTTTGTCCTGTAATTGAGTTGGTAATATTTTGCCAAGTTGTCTACTTTGTCTTTAGGTTTTGAGAGGATGTTTTTAAGTGAACCCGTACTTCTAAAAGCTATTCTAAAACCTTGTTGTTTAAAAATTTTACTAACTTTTTCCGATAATTCACCAATGTATGGCAAACAACGGAAACCTAATGATTCATTTGTGGTGGAGCGCCATTCATTGAACCGCCATTGAGCGCCATTAAAAAAATCAACTGCTAACTGGAACGTCGCGTTGGCGGAGGTATCAGCGGGTTCACTTTGACAATTCATGTCGAGGGACGTGGTTGTAGAAGTCCTTCAACCTGATGATGAACTAAAAAGCTCGAAATCCGGATCGTTACAAAACAACTTACTGTGAGTAGGAACTGTCTTTTTAAAAAAGGATTGAACACCACACTCACTCCACCATTTATCATTTCTACTACCTATTAACGGTAATTTTGCATTTTTGGTTTGTAATATTTTCTGACGACAGACCTGCATGTATTGTTTGTCATATTATTTTTAATTATACCCAAATATTTAATATTTATCGATTATTAAAATTAAGAGTACTTTCTTTTTATTTATAATACATTTTGTTTTTATTGATTGAAAGAAAAATAATCCCATCTAGTATTTGACATCCAAGTAGCTTTTATTTATGCATCTTCTGTTACATACAATATATTGATTATAATATTTCTTATATTGTCCTATAATTTAAAAATAAGTGGGTGAGATATTTTTTTCCGATTTAATTAATTTGTTATTAATGGAAATGTACGCACTTGTTTAACTTGTTGGATAAGAACATACGCGTTCTCGTGGCCATGTTGGAAAACTGGTTTGTTTCAGAAAATTCCTACAGATCGCTCACGAGACTTTTACTTGCAGTTACAACTTGAAAATTTAAGTTATAAAATGAACACAATGAGAAGTTCGTTTAGGCGACAAGTAATCGACGTCATTTTGAAACGCTCCAAAAATTAATTCAGAAATGACTAATTTTCCCCCAGATAAAAGGGAAGAAATAAAAAAATAGTTTGCAGAAAGCGACTCCTCAATTCCATCCACTGATAAACCAATAGACTTCACCGACATTTAAAATTACCAGCTGCTAGTACTCCAGGTACCTCATCCTAATATTCGATGGTCATTCCTCCTTCGGGAATAATAACCAATAATCCTTGCTCCTTTATCATTGCCAGATGATATGGGACAACAATCCACCGGGGTGAGATGTCTCTCTTGTCATTAAGTCATTGTCTAGGTCATTTCAACACCCAAGGCCATCAGTTCCTAAAGCCAAACCCACTCACTCTCTCACTCATTCGTAAATATGTTTATTCCTTTTAACATACCATACACACAATTAGGGTGGTGGAGTATATGTAAACAATGTTTGTAAATTCCAGGCCCTGAAGATGATCTCAATAAAGATCGAAACGTTGGCACGATAAAGAAAATGTTTTTCTGAAACCTACATCACACCAGACCGCATCTCACGATTTCTAAATAAATAAATATGTACACTTATCACACTAAGGGACACAAGAATCTATACAGGGTGGGGTCCAGCATTAATCCAAAAAAAATTGGATTCTTGTTCATCTTAAATAAAATAACATGCAACCAACTGAACTGTTCTCTCAACTCGGTTAAAGTTATTTTTAAGTTGTTTTTTTTTTCTTCGAAAAATCCCAACTTTTAGCCATAAATTGTCATTTTTCAAGATCTAGAGAATGTGTTAGAACTTGTAACCACATTTTAAGAGTTTAAAATTTTCATTAAATTCCCTATTAGAAGAAGCTATTTTTAATCTATCAAAAACCGATGTAATTTATTAATTAAACGGATAATGAAGATTGTTAAAAAAAAGATATTCTATTGATAAATTTCCCAAAATAACTGTTTTTCAAAAAGCATATTGTTAAGGGTGCCAAACGTCTTAAAAATTTCTTCATTTAATACGCTTATTTATGTGTTCTCGCAGTTCCAAAAACGTAAATGCTTCTACGGTAAAATCAACTTGGAATGCTAAAGAAAAACGTGTATCAAATGTGTAAATTTAACGCATACAAAAGAGGAGTGAATTGTGCGATTTTGAAAATTTTAAACAGGATTGTTGATGATGCAGGATTTAAAAAGGAATGTATGTAAACTTATTAAATCAAATCTCATTATAATGAAACAAAATACTAGAAAAAAAAAAGAGACTTGCCACAAATGTTGTACGCGTTAAATTTACAAATTGGAATCACGGTTTTTAACATTCCAGGTTAATTTTACTGTTGAAGAGTTAACGATTTTGGGACGACTACAACACCATAAGAAAGCTTATTAAATGAAGACAGTTTTATGATATTGGCACTCCTACAAATATGTTTGTGGAGAAAGTTTTTTTGGAAATTTATCAAAAGTTTCTCCTTTTTTTAAAATCTTCTTCTTTTAAAATCTTAATAAACATACATCGGCGTTTGATAAGTTTAAAAATAGCATTTTTTCTTGAAAATTTAATGCAGAATTAAAAAATGTGGTTAAAAATTGGAACACTTTTTTAGATCTTGAAAAAATGCCATTTTATGGCTTAAGGATGGCGTTTGTTGAAAAAACACGTCAAAATTGATAACTTTCGCGTGGAATTAGATAGAACGATTTGGTTGTTACTCTACTTAAGATGTAATATAATCCATTTTTTCGGGCTTACGTTGGACCACCCTATATAACAAAAAAAACCCTAATTCCTCCAAGAACAGAGGAAATACTTGCTGACGAGCTCAAGCACAATTCACATATCTGATGGCATTTCTATGCATTCTCTGCATTAGGCACCCTTCAATCAAATGACGCACAAAAATACACATGAAAGTAAGTGTTCATGTGTCAACATCGCATGGCCTATTCTTAATCGGGTGAGGATGTGCCCTCTTCTACGAGTCAGATTCTCCGAGGGTCACTTATCTAGTGTCTTGATTAGAAAAAGCTTTTCTGTCGTCCTGGGTCACTGACGCTGCCACATTCTATTAATCATGTTTTTAGTGTGTCAGAGGGCTGGATCATGTTAGGTCCCGGCCTCAGACGTTTCGTTCTTTTTTTAGTTACCCTCTAGACCTATTTGGCCGGGTAACCCACACAACAACCGCCATTTTTCCCAGATTCTCCAGTGCATCTCTCCAACAGAAAATTAAATTTAAAAGACTCTTATACATTAATACATTAATTTTTGTTTAAATGAAATTATTTAAAAATGGCTTTATAGTTAAACTAAATTACAGGAAATATTACATCAATCACAATTGGCACTAAATTAATTTTGACAAACCTGAACTCGCTATGAAAAAATAATTGGCATAGAAACCATGTCCAGGCCAATTTGATGACGCAGTAAACTCGATGAATAGAGTTTCTGTTGTCGATATAATCTCGGTGTTTGATCCCTGGTTACAAAGAATCGTTATGACCGGCGATAGCGGTCCTGGACCGTCGTGCACCCGTACGACATCTTCTCTCGTCAGACAACTGGAAATTAAAAGTTTTCTCAATCATTTAATTGTTCAGACACATAGATTTATCTGTATTATCCGACCAGTTTTGACTTTACATAGCATCGGTAACCGTAATGTTTACATTTGTATGAAAATTGTAAATTGAAAATAATAAATATGAAATTCATGTTATAAGAAAAATCAAAGGTTCACTTGTCACTGCCAGAATTTTTGATGATTTAATGATTTACAATTAATTTAAGATAAAATTATGCTTTACATTGTTAGAAAAAAGCGAGTTTTCTTCCTTTTTCATACAATCCAATTTGTTTTGTATTAAACTACATCTTGAACTTACTCTTATTCAAAAATTAGGAAAACTTACAAAAAATACATATTAAACCCAAAAATCGTACACTCAATTGTGAGCAAATTGATATCAGTATTAGATATATCAACTACTTTTTCACTCTGGATCAAAGCATGGTCTTAAAAAACAAGAAAATTCAGTTATTACTTTCGACCTATTACCCTCATCATTGGTCATCATCAAGGCAAAACACTTAATATATTTAAGTTTTTTACAGGCGATCTCAAATTTTCTTGATGACCGACCCAGTCCCAACATTGCCAAGGACTGTAACAGTATTGTCAATACACTTTCACCTTTTTTGCATTTTTGGAAGGTACATAATACATAAATAGTATATCAATTAGTTCATATACCTGTCGTCACCTCTTTGAAGGTCAAACTCTTCAAAGACAAGGCGCACTCTCCCGCCATCTCTGAAAGAAAGAAAAAACTATTTGATTAAATTAATGAACCGTATTGTCTATTAATCAAAATGATGTACTGAATTGATACTTGAATAATTTGCATAGTAGAAAAAAAATTAATTTAATTTAATATAAAATATATATATTTAATAAAAATTAAATTAAAAAACACATAATTGTTGGTAAATAAGGCATATATATATATATATATATATATATATATACACACAACATAAACATATATATTTATTATGCATGGAAGTATATTATGTCTTTAATGTATCAAACGATAAGCCATGTTCTACCATCTAGCGGGGTAAATTCTCACTCCGGAACTTTACTTCCCACTAAAAGATTGCATGACGCTACAGCAAATCTTCAAATGATAATAAATACAACAGGATTTTCAACGACATGGATATTTGACAAAATAAATAATATAATATAGTTAATACATAATAAATCCGTATATTTTCGTATACGGTATGCACAAATGAACTTATGTATTAAATGTGTATATACATAATATCAAAGTGGTGTCGACTAACACCATAATATGTTGTTATTTATCAATTCAATTACTAAATTTGTGTGTTGCTCTAAAGCCTTTTTGTTTACATTTAACTGACATATATTTGAAAAAATTATAATATTTTTATTATTATATTTTTTAATTTGTAGAACCTTGCAGGTACTTTTAATTTGCTAATAGTACGGTATGAAACGTAATAATTTAAAAATAGTTTATTATCCTACTATTGGATAGTTATCATCTATTATTTTGCAAAACTATATATGCAAAACTTTTAATTTGGATGAACCACTTTCAAATTATTGTAAATTTTAAGTTAAGCAACTGAACTTTGCGTAAGTAGAAAAGGAAAATAAGAAATCCCTTTCATTATATAAAAAATACAGATACATATAAAAAGTACAGACTAAATTGATCATTTATAAATAACCGCAATGTCCAAAATTCGCGCCTTCTATTAATGAACATGATGTAATGCTGCGTGTTATATTTGTTTTTCATCTTGTCAAAAATATGAAATTGAAAGTAAGAGGAATATTTTTTTTATTCTTTACTAACTTATCTAAACCCAAACACCGCACACTCCCACTCTTCAAGTTAATGCGCTTACAAGCTCTTCTCCCATGAAATACGCCTTGCTATAAAACCCTACTTTGTAGCTTTTTCTTGTAAATGCGTCAGTACAAAAAATAAATAAATAAAAAACAATAAATAGAATGATGATGTATACTAGCATAAGAAATAATTACAAATAAATAAGAAAGACAGAAAAAAGGAGCGAGTGATATAATTAAGAATGTGAGAGAAACAGAAAGAAAGAGAGGGGAGAAAGAGACGGAGAGATTAAGAGAGAGAGAGAGTGTGTGGGTGAGTGAGTGAGAGGAGACTAAAGCACATTATGATTGACCAATTACACCTAGAATTATTTATTACCAATTACATAATTCGATATTTACGATAACCGCACTATTATTATCTGCTTGAGCAATCAAACTCATTAGGGAATTACACCACGTCACAACCATCACAGGATGTATTAAAAAAAAGATAGGGGCGCTAGACATAGTAAACATACGCTAAAACAACCCTCACCAAGACTGGCAAACTCACTGTTACAGTTAAAAAGGGTTTACTCAGAGGAGTGATAGGGTTATTTACCAGTCACTGGCTTCTTAGGAAACATCTCATTTGTATATTATGCAGTGAGGAGGAAGAAATAGCCACCTGTCATCTTCGAGTGTGAAGCAACCGCTCAATGGAGATATAAACTCGAATGTAATATGCGGGGAAATGAATTGTAGCATTGAAACAGTCAATAGACTAGTACACGTTAAAAGATGACTCTAGATATGCAGGATTTGCCGAATGCTGAGCAAAGTTCGCTGAAATCCGACTAGTGAGATGGATGCTCGGTTATTCGCCGAGCAACAAGATTCGGTGCTCTGCTTATTGTCGGTCTTGTCCTCTTCGAAGAGCATGAATATTCATGAAATAACAGTATTCAAAGCATCTACACATTTCGGAATCAACTGTACATGTACATATCTTTAACTAATTGTCAACTGTTACCAGAATCAACAGTAAGTGTATAAATGTGTAGAGATTAGTGACCGTTAATCGATAGTTATTCAGATATCGTGAGATGCAGTTGGTAGTAAGTGTATACTTCTATTTAATGATATTTATTTTGCATTAATAAATGATTCCTTATTAGTATAGATGTATTAATTTACACAATAACAACATAGCATTGTGTTTTGATTGGAATTAATTGACCGAACGTAACAGGTTTTCGTGTTGTTTACGAAACAGAAGCAATAATTTGTAATGCTTCTGTTACGAATCATAAAAATCGGAACGAGGTTTTCGATGTGTGGATTATAGTAGCAGTAGGATGTGGCATCAGTACTCTGCGACTGTATAAAAAAAGGAGGATTCGCTAGTGGCATCCTTTAGAATCTGTCTTTAAAAAATCAAGGAGAGCGTCAAAAGCGGGACAGTTGTCGATGGTTTACTGATACCATCTGCTAGCAACTTTTCTTAAGCTTTTATCCTCAGTTAGTTTCTGACCACTGCATAAAACAGTAACCGCATCTCTGCGACTCGCGTGGCATTTGACAAATACGTACAGAGAAATGAAAGAAAGAAAGAGATACAAAAAAATACCGATAATGAAATAAAAAATGTTATAAAATGCAACCCAGAAGACGCTTCGCTTTGCGGACCGCATATCCTCATCTCTCGAACGCAAATAATATTGTGTAGGGGCCAGGGGGGGCCTTTCTTGACGAGACACAAGCGTTGACTGCGTGTGCCATGAATGTAAAAACCTAAAGCCCATCCTTCGAAATTCCCTTTAATCACCTGAGAGTACGATTCTTCAGAGTCCGCCAAGGATTGGCCTACTCTGACTATTTATCTATATAATCCTATTTAATCCTCTGAGAGCGGGGGTACCTCAGGGCGGCATATCCCGACCGATCTTTAACTCCTTTACACCTCATATATCTCAACTTCACCCACCATCCTCGCCCTCGCATCCTTCACCACCGACTCAGCTGTGCTATTGCAACATGCTCTGATCCTGATACAACAAGTAACTCGGAGTAACTCCAGGAATATGGCTTACAAAAGACGAATGGAGCAAACACAGGCGTATAAAGCTTAATGAATGCAGATGCACCCATTAATTCCAATTCACCCTTCGTCAATACATACAGCATTCCTCAATAATAGTCACATCCCAAAAACAGAGTGCGACCGCTATCACGGATTTTACCTAGCTTCATGATTACCTGGACCAACACAGTCTAAAACGGCAGAAATTAAACAAACGTTTTGGACTACTCTACAATCTACTGGCATGCATATCTAACGTATCAACAAACAAAAAAATGACAATCTACAAGACAGTACTAAAACCAATCTGAACATACCGAGCAGAAATGCGGTGCACGTTTCCAAAGTCCAAATAATACAATCCTTACGATCTAAAATGCTCAGACCCCAACTATAGCACAAATTCAATTTTTCTTACTACGTCTCCATCACCTTTCCCAAGGACTTCAAAACCCCTCTCGTGCGAAAAATAACCCCAAAACATGTTCTACTTTCCACAATCCTCTTTTTTTCACTCAAATCGAGTTGTCCTTATCCAATTGAAAGCACCCCTTTATTCCGACCAGACAACTAAAGAGAAAATGGCCTCGCGACCTACAAAACGAAGATTAGTCTTCGCGTACAGTTGGGAGAACAACAAAGTCTATTAACTCCCCGATACATGATCTATGTGATTTATAAATATTCTAAATCATCTTATTATGAAATGTAAATTAGGTATAGGTTAGATAAGTAGATAGATAAAGAAAGAGTGAGAGTGAGAGAAAGAGAAAATATCAGAGAAAGAGACACAATGATAAGCCAATTACAAATCGAAAGTTAAAACTTATTTTCAACAATGTTTGCTCAATAGTGCACATTAAATGTACAAGGATAAAAACAACGTATTATAAAAAAATATTTTAAAAAATTATTTACTAGTGTAAGTCTTTTCCATTTATTTATATTAAAATTCATTTGATATGTGATAACATTACACTTATTTTGTAGAAATGTGTGGTGATTAGTGACCGTTAATCGATAATTATTCAGAAATCGTGAGATGCGGTCTGGTGCGATGTAGGTTTCAGAAAAACATTTTCTTTATCGTGCCAACGTTTCGATCTTTATTGAGATCATCTTCAGGGCTCAAAGTGTCTTCTGTGTAATTGTGCCTTCTTGCGTGTCGTGTTGAGAGTGGACTACATCACACTAGACCGCATCTCACGATTTCTCAACAATTACACTTATTGTCTTAGTAATTTATTTAGAGGATATGTATAATTAGAACAGTTATACGCACTTTGTAAAAGATAGATAATGAATGATACACAAATTACACATTACAATTTTGCATCCAGACATTTTGGGATGTTGTAATGTTGTTGGGTAAGTTAAACCAAAGTTTGGAGAAAGGAGATCAGAGAGCGAGGTAAACCGTTTACGTTATTTACCTGGCGGATATTGTATAAGTACACCTGCTGTTCCTAGGATAACTTGAGGGATACCTAGGAGAATACAGCCTTCCAGAACTGCCTCTCTCGGGGATTTGGTAATCACAGCCTCCGAAGCTTCCGCCATCCATGATGTATTTGCCTAAAACAGAACCAAATCGATTTACGTCTGACAAGAAAATTAGGGCTTTAATCCAACAAAGCTATTTATAACTGGAATGTTTATTTCAGATAAAAGTAAGCTTTTCATAATTCCTACAGTGATAATGAAAGGTTTAAATAAAAATAATGAAAAATATTATCAGAGAAGCGGTAGCTCGTAAGAAGATTTGCGCCATTCTTTTTCGCTTTAATAGAATCTCTTAAGACTTTCATTGTAAAGTACTAAATTCCAATGAATTAGAAATTGCATTTTCAATTCCATGGCAAAGCTTAGGGAATGAAGTATCGCAAGTAGAAGGCCAATAAACGATATTTCAGCTTTTTGAGCAATACCATCAGCTTTTTTCGTTTCCAAGATGACCCAAACGACCCGGGATAAAAATATCTACCGTCTCTAAAAATAATATCTCCCGTGTTCCCAGGGGGAAATTTTTTATTGTTATCACTCAAAGTCAATATCCTTTTAGGATAAACGGCTAATGTAAAACAAACTTCATTTTTGATAATTATATTTCTAAAATGTTCCTTTTACTAACTTACTAAAAAGATTATATCTTCAAAAATGTAATTATTTTTTATTAATAACGAACAACACATGCTTACGATTCTTTTGTAATGCACATTTTATTATTTACTTTCATTAGAATGTAAATTGTTAAAAAAATTAAATACCTCAAAATCTAAATACCGGTTTGGTATCAAAGAAGATGGGTCAAAATGCTTGATAATACGTAATGCAAATTAGATATAACTTCAAGAGCTATGGTGGGATTCGATCCCAGAAATGCAAGCGTGGAAAGTCAGTAGCCTAACGACCACAACCCCCGTGGTAATAATTGTAAAAACAATATGTTGATAATGTTATCAATATCACAACTGATGTGAAACGATTTCACTGTTGGAATATTCATTATACATCTCATTTGATCAATTTCTCCAAATTGGCTGATTTAAATACACACATCAGTAATTTTTCGCAGAGAAAAAAAAGAAGACAACATTTTAGATAACGTGTGTGGTGTTTACATATAATCTATAAAACACAATATTATAATATACTGATAATATAGTTGTCATTTTATTCGTTAGGTTGTCGTTAAAATTTATTTTTTATCTTGATTCACTCTATACCTTAAACGTAAACAACCAAAAACACACTTTCATAAAAATTAGTGTTTGGTGTTTAGTGACCGTTAGGCAATGATTATTTGGAGATCGTGAGATGCGGTCTGGTATGATGTAGGTTTTAAAAATACAGTTTCTCTATTGTGCCAACGTTTCGAATTTTATTGAGACCATCTTCAGCGCCTGGGATTTAAAATATTGTTTGAATTTTACAAATACAAATTGACAATAATTTTTTTCTCCACATCCTATATGTATTTGTAAAATTCAAACAATGTTTATAAATCCCTGGCCCTGAAGATGATCTCAATAAAGATCGAAACGTTGGCGCGATAAAGAAAATGTTTTTCTAAAACCTACGTCACACCAGACTGCATCTCACGATCTCCGAATAATGATTTTAGATAACTTTTCAGTTAATTAAGGTTTTGGTTGAAATAAAAAAGTCAGCGAGATTCGAACCTACGACCTTCGGCTGAATACGCCGCTGCTCTACTACTTGAGCTCGCGCGGCTTCGATCCGCTGGGACACTAACTTCCCATCTCAACCCCACCTTTTGAATTTTCCCTCCTTTTTGCCATTTTTCAAATGTCGTGTAATCCATTTTATTCTCGGCGACAAATAAAATAGCCACGGAGAACTTTTATGAAGAATACTCCATTTTGTTTATTTCATTTATTAGGTTTCGTGGTCCGCTTGACCAAATAAATTCTTTTCAATTAATTAAGGTTTTGGTTGAGATAAAAAGTCAGTGGCCGAGCGGATTGAAGTCGCGATAGATCAAGTGGTAGAGCAGAGGCGTATTTAGCCGAAGGTCGTGGGTTCGAATCCCGCTATTTGAAAAGAATTTATTTGGTCAAGCGGACCACGAAACATAATAAAATATAGATAACGTTTTAAAATTATTAATAAAATAATATAATAATTTATTTTAACAACTAATGGTAATGTTAATATTAGTCTATTCTCGATACAGTATTTTTTCTTTTATTGAGTTACTTTTACTCCTAAATTTCACGAAGTTGAAGTTATTAAAATAAAGGTATTATATATAAATAAATACCTAATAATACATTTCTGCATGATTATAAAACTATTTAAAAACAACTACACCTTATGAAAGTTTGCGTTTGTAAATAAAACGACAATTAATCTCAAAGTATAATCTTTTAGTATGAACTTAATTGTTTTGTGATAAATGTAAAATTAACATAGATTAAATAGATATTAGTGCTCACAACGCATTATTTATCACTGTTTAAAGATGGAGCTGATATTTAATTTCCGGAATGATGAGAAGTAAGATTTTATCTTTATTTCCTCCTTGGTGAATAATTATGGTTTTTGTTGTGTTTAAGTTCTACGGATGTGACGTAATATCAAGGATTCAGTGTACGAGCGTGATAATTTGAAAGGGTAAAAAAAGTCACCATTTTTTTAAAGTATATAAGTGAATCAGCGCTTTTAGAATACAGTTTAACTCCGGCTTCGTCGCCATGATCACATATCTTCTGACCGGTTAGTATTGCAAAACATTAGCAAATGGATGTTGAAATGTTTAATTTCTTGCAGTTTCCTTTGTCGGACTTTTATGTGTTGCTGGATTGTCCGCCGACTGCAACATTGCATGTCCAGCAGTGTATCGGCCCGTTTGCGCAAATTGTGGTGGCGAAATGAAAACTTTTTCAAATAGTTGCAGCATGCAAACACACAACGAGTGCAACAATGCAAGTAAGGAAAAAAATATGTAAATTTTAATTTAAAAAATGGTTAATTATTAACGTCATCATTGTGAATCAAAAGAGACAAAATAAACTATTACAATATCATAGCATTTTTTTAAATAGAAAATTATTTTGATAAATTCAAATTCTTGTACTTTCAAGAGTAATATTTTTTTTACATTGTACATATTACTTTTTGTAAAATTTAACCTCTAACCATAAACGCGACATCTAGCACACCCAATAGTTGTGACAGATTTACAATTATCCAACAAAATATAAATAATATTATTAATCTTATTGGAAACTTATTGTTTCAGGGTGCAAGTTGCAGCATAACGGACAGTGTAACACGAACTGCAACATGGCATGCACTCGAGATTTCAACCCTATTTGTGCATGGAACGGAAGAAATTTGAAAACATTTTCAAACAAATGCGGGAAAGATGCATTCAACAGATGTTACAACGATCGTATGTTTGTTGACATATAAAATGAGTAAACATAATTAAGACTTTACAATTAATTAAGGTTTTTAGTTGAGATGAAAAAAAGTTAACGGCACGAGCGGGATTCGAACCCACGATCTTCGGCTAGATTCGCCGCTACTCTACCACTTGAGCTATCTTGACCTCGATCCACTCGGATATCCGTGGCCGAGGTCACGATAGCTCAAGTGGTAGAGCAGCGGCGTATCTAGCTGAAGATCGTGGGTTCGAATCCCGCTCGTGCCATTGACTTTTTTATCTCAACTAAAAACCTTAATTAATTGTAATATATTAATTCGTCAAGCGGACCACGAAA